GAGAGAGAGAGAGAGAGAGAGAGAATTTTTAATATTTATTTTTTTTTAGTTTTCAGCGGACACAACATCTTTGTTTGTATGTGGTGTTGAGGATCAAACCCGGGCCGCACGCATGCCAACGCGATACCGCTTGAGCCACATCCCCAGCCCCTTTCCTGGGTCTTAAAACCACAGGAGGCCCTCAATTGCAGCTATACTGCATGTTGTCTTTTTTTTTTTCCATTTATTAAAAGCAGGAGGCCAAGGGGTCAAACATGGGGCTATTTTTAAATCCATGTTTAAAGTTAAGCTCTCATCCCTGTGGGCACTCTGGAGTAGGCTGACAGAGCCAGGGAGAGTCCGGGTTCTGCCTGATGCGTGGAGAGGCCACACTGGAAGTAGACAGGGCTGCCCCAGAGCAAACTGTATAAACTGGGGGGTCATCCTCAAGGTTCTTCACCTCCTTGTCCCCTGGGCACTACATAGACCAGAGAAACAGCCAGAGGCCAATCCAATTAGAGTGGAGACTGGACTAGAGCCATGCAATGAGAGGTTTATGAATGTTTATACCGGTATTATTCACTGTTCAGAACAGGAGAAAAAGAGGACCCATATATTCTCAACCTGGGAAAGTTCATCCCCTCCCTTTGGTTCTGAAGCCATCTAACACCTGTGGGAAGGGTGCATTTCTCTGATTCTAAAGGGGCAAGCAGCACACCTTCCCGGGCAGCCTCCTGAGGAAGATCTGTGGTCTCTCCCCTCAATCCAGGATCCCAAGGTACAAGTGGCTTCTTAGAGCTGTAAATTCTTCCACCTTCACCAAGACCTCCCTCAGTTCTGAAGGTAGATAATACCTCCAGGCTAGGTAGGCTCCCTCTGCTGGAGGAAGCCAGACACCCTCTCCCCTCCCCAGCCACAGCTGCCAACAGGGATGGGGCACACACGTGCCACAGCAGCTTCCATGGCCAGCCAGGACCAGCCAGCACTCTCCCACTCTCCAGTGAGCTCCACATGCTGGCGTCCAACACAGGATGGTAGAGGCAGGAAGTAGCCACCGAAGTTGTGGCCAACAGAGTTTTAAATGGGGCAAGTAACTTCCCCTTTCATCCTTCCAGCAGCTAGAGGATGAGCAGGTACGCTCAGTGGCCTCCCCTTTGGGTGGCAAGCACCTCCTTCAGGTCTGCTTGGGGCTGAGGCTTGAAAGCTCTAGGGTGCACCAGGCTCCTCAGCCTCCAGTCAGCCTTTACCCAGAGTGGGTGGGGGCCCAGGAGGAGCAAGCTGGTGCTCATGCTCCTCTGTGAATGTTCTCTCTCTCTCTCTCTCTCTCTCTCTCTCTCTCTCTCTCTCTCTCTTTTTTTCTCTATCTATCTATAAAGGGCTGGGGGTGGCTCAGT